CCGAGTCCTGTGCTGTGTCACCAAAACAAGACGACGACCACTACTATCAGAGCCACAACTCATTCAATCTTTTACACAAACTTCACTTTAAATCGCTTCGGGACTTAAAATCGAATAACTTTTATATCGGGTTTGGGTTTTGGTTTTTAGGTCTCAGCCCTCCCTTTCTATCGCATTCTCATTCACCGATAGTTTAGAGAAAATATTATTGCATTTCAGGGCAAACAGAGAGGACCTCAAAGACATGTCTTATAAATAGCGACACTTTGCAGACAAAGGCATACATTCTTTAGGATAACATTCCCTGAATTGCCTTAAAGTTAATCTGTATTTAAGTTGGGAATCGAGTGATAAAAACAAAGCTCAGACAGAGATTATAAAACTGTTGGAGCGCTTCGGGCGTTCTCTCAGGACTGAGAGGTATATACATCTCAGGACTGAGAGCTATATATGAGAGACAAACCAAATGTTTGCTGTTTTGGGCTCTCTATCGACTCTATCGATAAAAACTCGTATGGATTGCAAGGAACGGAAGGACTGGTTGTCTGATGTGACAAATAAGTGTTTTGATGGCAACCAGTAGTGAAGAGGGCATACCTAATGTTTGGTTCGATAGGAGGCCTCCTTTCAGATCAGTAGCACTAAAGGGTGGACACGTATTCAGTGGCGACGCGCTCTCATCGTCCGTATTATGAAGGGATGAGGACTGGGATGACGACTGACCCAACACACCACCACTTTCGCGACCCAGTCCTTGTCTGCGGCCCGGACTCTCAAAAGGCAGCTCCAGATTCTGTGCGCCCATTCCGCCCAGGGATGAGCTCAATAGTAAACCCTTTAAATAGAAAACAAACAACAAATTTAATCATTCATTCAAATGATAATTAATTTACGTGTTTATCAATAATCACATGAATTACTATTGCAATGAATACTAATTATAAGTTAATTAATGATTAAAACAATCGATAAGTCATTGAAATGAAAGTTAATATAAATAAAATTCATGTTAAGAAATGAAAATACATTATATTGTACTGTATTATAGACATGTAAAGAGAGTTTTCATTAGTTTTATTGTACTGTAATATTATTTTCATACATAGTATACATAGTATGAAAATAGTGTCTCAAAAAACTTCTTATTTTTCTATTATTGTTATGAAATAAGAGTTTACAATAAAAACAAGAATTTATATTTCGTTTGAAGAGAAAAGTGAAAGAATGAGAAAATGCATGAAAAAGTTGAGACAAAAAGTGGTTGTATTAGGGGATTGAGTGTATGAATGGCTTTTGATTGGTGTGAACGCCGGCATAAAAGAGTATGGATTGGATTGGATTATGAAATAGTGATTCCACACAATTGAAGGACACATCAGGAGAGAGAGAGCGAGAGAGAGAGCGAGAGAGAGAGCGAGAGAGAGAGAGAGACTGAACGAGACGTGAATTTAAGTTATTTGACTACTAATGGTTAGACGAATGAAAAGAAGTGTTTGTAATGTGTTTTTTGTCACAAAAACCAATGCATACATGCATTGCAGTCCATACCATGTATTACCACTTCTTTGCTTAACACTCAAAGGGGAGTGACTTATAGTTATGTAATCAGAGTTTTTGTGTAAAACTTATTTATTTGACAATTAATGCAATCATTGCTTAAAACATTACTCACATTACTATCACTTTTCTCTCTATATATATCCTTTTAATTAAATCCTTATTTATTTTCTTATGACTAAACTTTAGCCACAATTAGTAAAACAGTTTAATTATCAGAAAAAAGCAAAATTTGTTTTGTATTTCATTTTCATAGTAGTATTGCATTTGTTTCGGCGTTTCATTCATTCATTGACTGAATGCCGAAAACATGAGAAAACAAAATATTTAATTAATTATATACTTATTTATAAAACTATTTCTATATANATTTGTTTTGTATTTCATTTTCATAGTAGTATTGCATTTGTTTCGGCGTTTCATTCATTCATTGACTGAATGCCGAAAACATGAGAAAACAAAATATTTAATTAATTATATACTTATTTATAAAACTATTTCTATATATTAATAGTATATACAGTACTGTCTATTAAATTATATATAAATTATGTATTTATAAACAAATAGTATGTAATAAAAGGTTGTAATAAATGCATAATTAACGCGATATTAGTCGACAATTAGTCGATTGAAACAAAAATACAAGTTTTCATCAATTGTTTCATTCATTCAAATGAATCGATGTTTTAATCAATGAATGAGTGCTTAATACTAGAGCTATGATAAGACAACAACAAGACAATGAGTGGTATGTCATCAATGGTCAGACCTGTTCAGCGGCTTCTGTGAGTGGCGTCTGGACATTGGCCGCAACCCACGCCTCGGCAAACGTCTCCATCATTGACTGGAAGTCCATCTTCGCGGTGGATATGATCGCAAGCAGTGATCACATCAACTGATTGGACACAAAGAGGTGATTGGGTTGTGTGGACACAATCGATGGCACCAATGGATAAGTGTCTTAAATGTTCAAAACAAGCGATCGATTGAGAGAAACAGATACAAGACTTCAAGTCTTCACTCGAGGGTTGTTGTTGTTGTTGTGATCGTTGCCATTAGGACTCATGTCTTGAGCAGTAGGAGTAGTGATGTCTGTCTAGGAGTCGGTTGTGGTGCGAGTGGTGAAGACATGATCGCAACTATGGTATGGCAACTGATGGCAGAGGTATTGTCACTCGCGGTGGTAGTGTTAGTGATCAGTGAACGAGTGGATCAGCCATTCAGTTGAGGCTTTGGTTTTGTTGAATGTATTGAATGTATGGTTTGATTGTCTCTCAGTCTGTGTCTCACAAGCACTCACTTCTCGCACAATATATTCAGCACTCAATACAACACTAACTCTAATACTACACGACATGAACAGAGACTCTCCGATCGCTACTGACGTCACACTGTATTCATGAGCCAAACACCCATCTCTGCCCACCAGTGCCT